ATCATTAATCATTATGGTGAGTCGGTTTGATTCAAAAGAATTGAGCATAATTACTCCTCGTTCTAACCCTCGGTTCTATTTGCACCTAAATTAGCTAAGTCAAATTCACATTAACAAGCCAAGCCTCGAGCTCTCTACCTCGTGAATACTCATCCATAATTTCCATCGAACTAAATCTCAATCCTATAACATTTTGTTATACTTATATCATTTGGTACGATAATCTTTGACCTGAGATTCGATTCGTTAATGGAGTTTAAATATTGCATTAAGTACAACATGAAACTGCATAAATTCGAAAGAAAATTCCTGACGCAAATCTTAGTGAAAAGAATACTGTTTGGTTTAAAAAAATTTGAGAATAAGATCAAGTTTCTTTAAATGCGCGCGCGTATATATGTGATAAATTTCGAATTACCAAAACTTTATGGCACATTGTATATTTACTACTATTGAATACTACTACTGAATTCTACACAAAAAAAAACGGATTGATAAGATCAAGTGTTACAAGCAAGTAGATTTTCTCGTACAGCAAAGAAATTATATGTGGAGGCGACTGTCAGTCTGCTCATAGAATAAATCCATTCGTGTTCTTTTAACTGTAACGAGACAAATTTTTTCGTGCAGGAACAACTGATGTCGCATGCGAGGTCAGTGCACAAAATAAATTCACGAAACTAGGATCAGTCGGTCATGTATCATCTAACGTTCACGTAAAGATGGTGGATCTGGACACGGAGGAAGCGCTAGGACCTAACAAGATCGGAGAGCTACGCGTGAAAGCAATCACCATAATGCAAGGATATCACAAGAATCCGGAAGCAACGAAACAGGCCTTCGATTCCGACGGTACGCGTCTTGATTAAAGTTTGCCGGGTATCCCGATACGGTCTTGATCGCGCACATGAGTTATCATGGAGACGCGATTAAACAGAGAGTCAAGCAGATAACGCACGGAAATGCGTTTCAGGTTGGTTCCGCACCGGCGATCTGGCGTATTACGACGATAACGGAGAGATATACATCGTCGACCGGATATCCGATTTCATCAATTTTCGAAGCACCAACGTTTCGCCCGCGGAGATCGAAACCGTTTTAATGACTCATCCCGCGGTGTTCCAAGCGGCGGTGTTAGGGATACCCAACGAGGTCGACGAACAACATCCGAAGGCTTTTGTTGTCCAAGTGCCGAACAAATCGGTAAGTGTTTCGCGAGCGTTTGACGACGTGGAAGCGCCGATACCGTAAACGCGATCCATGAAAGTATGCTGTGTTGGCCATACCACGCCCGACGTCGCATTTATCGTGCATTTATGTCTCACACGCAGGTAACGGAGCAGGAGCTTATCAGCTATGTGGAGAAAAACTTGCCGTATTATTGCAGACTCCGCGGCGGTGTTAAAATCGTGGACCAATTGCCGCGCACGACTACCGGCAAAATCGCGAAGAAGCAGCTGCGAGATATGTATGTGAATTAAAACGCACCGAACTATGCGCAGCCAGGGAGGACGTCTTATCGCGTGTACCTAAATTGTGTTTTCGTCGAAAAAAAAAAAAAAA